AACTTTCTTTTCTAAAACATAGAATCATTATTAACAAACACATGTGTATTTAGGCAGTAAGTATGAACCGCCTTTAATATGGAGGGGAAGGGGGGGAGGGGGTCTCCCGTTAGGGCGTGTATTTATTCAAAGTGCGCCCTGCGTGTGAGTCTCTCTCCCCTGTTTTGAGAACGTCTTGCTGCAACATCTTAGATTCCAACGCCCTTCACAGTCGACAACTACGACGGAAGACCTTCGGCGGCGGCGACAAAGAATGTTTATTATCCTTAACGCATTGTAATTTGTGTACTGATTTCAGAATTTATGCAACCATGTTTTTTTGTGAGTTTGCACAATTTCACGATCAACGAAATATTGTGTATTATCAATAAAGCATTTCGATAAAGCTGAAATGCAGAAAAATACTGGGAACAAGAAAACGGAAGTTACCATGCTAGAGCATAGTGATTTCCGCTTTCATTTCCCCCGACTATTTCGACATTTCAGCATTGCCGGAATGGTTTATCATTAAACAAGTACCAGAATATTCACCCTCAAAAAAAGAAGGAGAAAGGAACTGAATACTGTACAGTAATAGTTTTCACTTTTGCACCTCTGAAACAGTCAGTTAACAGAAGTGAGGCCGAAGGCCCCATACTCAGGACTGTTCGATTAACTTAAAAAATGTGACAGCGCCGCAGGCCTAGCTAGATGTCGCCAGGCGCGTCGCAGCGTGACAGTGTTTCGCGAGATATCGCGAAGCCTGTTACGCGAGACGTGGTCTGGCGTACATCTAGCTAGTTAACAGTGACCGTGACACGGTAAGTTTTGTTTGACTACACGGTAATACGATTTTAAATCGAGAGGGAAATTACTTCGGTTCGTAGCGTACGGACCACTTCGTTATATTTTCCTGCCATTTCGGCAATTACATGGTTATTTCGGATTACTTCGTGCTATTTTGCGGCATTTCAGTAATTCGGGGGTATTTCGCGACTGTATCATCAGCTATTTCGCGTTTATTTCAGGCCTATTTCGCTCTATTTCGGCTTCATTTCGAACTATTTCGGGAAAAGGTGTAGGAACTGTTTCGAAAGTGATTTCCCTCTCGTTTTAACTCAACAATCGGGATTTCCGAAAGTCGTAGACTGGCCATAAGCCGACGTTTTTTAGTTGCGCACATAGTTTACATTTTGTGGCAACGCGCAGAACTGTGAAGACCGGTGGGCGGGTATCAAACAGTTCAGAGGGACCGAGGTTAAAGGAAAATGGGGAGAGGAGGGACGTCGGTATGACTAACGGTTAGTCACTAACCGTAACTATGCGCCTCATACAAAGGGAGAGGAAAAAGGTCGCAGCCCTACTTTTGCGTGATTTGTTTTCAAATTTGTCATAAATTTTCATATTTCTTTCCATATGTTAATGGAATTCTGGGGAAGGATGCTCCTACTGCACTGAACAACTACAGCAACGCTCTAATACAGCAGCTTGTGGATATCCTCATCCCTTCGATCTAGATGGATCCCGTGGGGATAGCCCACAGATGAGCGTATCAAGGTACTTATCAGTGATAGAGCCACACATGCAGGAGAACGAAGCTGACTCCCAGATGGTGGCTGACCTGAAGGTAGGCCCGCCCAGAGCTGCTCGCTTTAGACGTTCTCCGCGCCATTGAAAAGTGCAAGGAAACCGTGGCATTTCTGAAAAGGAGCGGACTGTTTAACAGACATCCACATGCTGCTGAACAGGAAGTATCCACCCGATGGAACTCCTACTATGACTTGCTCGATTCCATGATCGACCAATGGGATGAGGTACGCATCACGCCTTAGTGGCGGCACTAGTGGGATGACCGTTCTACCATGGAGTATAAGGGGATGGAGAGGCAACGACGGGCGGGCAAGGGCCTGCATGGCCAAATTTCGGCTCATTTTCTTCTAAATGCTTCCACCTATTTAAAATCTGATAGCAGCATCGGATAGAGGAAGGTCGATTGTATGGCCGCATAAAGTTTCAGCTCGATCCGTCACATCATTCTGCCTCAACGTCGCGCTGTCCGCCGCCCCGCTGTCATTCGGCAGGGCTCGGGGCGGGTTCGGGACGCCTGCGCTAAGTCGCAGAAAACGTTCCGCTGATAATTTCCTCAAAACAGCAAAGTGAGTGTCTCCTATGGTTGGTATCGGCACCGAATTGCATAAGATGATTCTTAAGGATATGTTGGTACCTCATCGACCGCTGAAATACGATTTCACAACAATAACAAAGTGGTGCATTTGGGGGTTATGTTGACCATGGTCGGAGCTTAGGCTGGCGGCAACTCCTTGACAAAGTTGTTTTCGAAGGATTTGAAAAGGTAAGCACATAATATTGAATCAGGGCACTCAAAAGTAAACTCGAGAGTATTTTACGCCAATATTTGGTGTCAGTCATGCTCCGATGCAGAAAATAACACCAATGTATACGGGCGGCGTTAAACGACTTGATGACGAATATTGGCGTAAAATATTGGTAGGGGATCTGCACGAGCTGACGGTCAGCCTCGCGACGAAAGTCCTGATCCCTGACGCCGTGCCTCGACTAGAGCCGCGAGGTGTCCTCGACGAGCGTCAGATTGCCGACCTGCGACGCGCCGTGGGAGACCCTGCTTCCTTGCCCCCAAACACTGCGGTAGACTTTGGCGCAGGGGCTCGTATTTATTTGGGGCAGGTCAGAATCGACCCTCAGGTGCTTGAAAACTGGCGGTCAAGGTAACTGCACTGTGAGATAGTATAGTTCACTTTTATTTCCCGAACACGAAAAAAGTTTACACTGGATTTGCTAATTTTTAAGATGTGTAAGGTATCTTTAAATACTGGTGAAGAACCTGCTCGCCATCCTGCCCGAGGAGTCCGGTAGGCTGATGGCTGCGCGGTTCTTCACACCCCCGGAAGCCCTTCGCCAAGACGGCTGGGCTGGTGGACGTGGACATCGACCAGCTGAATGCAGAGTGGGACCGCCTTCCACGCGTCGATTGGAAATCATTTTTAAAGGGCGAAATCCCGAAAACATCAGTAGCATTCTAGGAGGAGGTTGTGCGGTACGATAGGCTGGGAGCGGAACCTATATTTCAGACGCTAACGAGGTTGGCCTTCCGAAATCTGAGCAACCCTTTGTCCAACGCAGACGTGGAAAGGGCGTTCAGTTTCATGAACGCCAATAAGACAAAACCAAGAAATAGGTTGAGTCCAAAGTTGTTGGAAGCTATACTGAGAATGAGAATGAGGAAACATCCAGGATGTTGCACAAATTTTATGCCGTGGCCGCAGATGCTCAGCTCTTTAATTCAACCATGTACAATTACGAGAAGAAAGATCGCGGGGCAGAAGGGCAGGCAGAGGGAAAGGTTGAGGATGACGAGGGGTGGGAGGAGATAAATTTGTGCGCATTAGAAAAAGACGCACAGGTTTTTGACTTGTGAACAATAAAAAGATGATACAATTTTTTTGTGTTTCATTAAAACTCTACTTTTTGGGCTTTATTACTCAAATTTTGGATTAAAAAAAAAATACGAGCGATTCTGGGCGATTTTCAAAGTCCACGGGCGATTTTGGGCGATTTTCAAAGTGCGCGGGCGATTCCGGGCGATTTCATTGGCTTTCGGCTTCGGGCGCACTCGGGGCTCGGGCCGGGCGACTTGTCTCACTCGGCATCTGGCAACCCTGCGACCCGGGCCTCTCCTCTCAGGTCAGTCTCACGCGGGTTCCTCTTGGTGACGGACGTGTTTTGTCGCTGTCGCTGATTAACTTGAAGGTGCGAGAAGGAAGATCAACTTGTCGCCCGCGGCAATTTGGACGTTCACAGGGTGCAGCTGGCTAACAAGATCTGTAGTAGTTTGGGACATCGAGAACCTACAGCCGACTGATTTCAAAAAGCATTTTTCGTGCCCTTTCTCGGGTGCCTTGTGTTGTTGTCACATAGTTTCGGCTGTTAGCACCGTGCTGCTAATCACACTGCCGATGCTAGAAGAACTCTATGGTGGCGACTGCGGCCCTACACGTCGTTAGATTACTGAGATTGAAGAGAGAAGGGCCAAATTTCTTTCTGCTGTCCGTGTAAACACAAATTCCTATGGACTTGGACTATTGTATTCGCAGTGTTCAAACTACCGCAGCGTATAAAATAAAATGCAAGCGTACATACACACAGAACTCAGTAAGCCAGAGCAGGGGCCCAAAATATCGGACCCAAACAACCGGACCCAAACATCCGAACCGCACCCAAACATCCGAACCGGACCCCAAAATATGGGACTTTTTCAGGCAGCCATACATTTGGGTCCGGACCCAAATCAAGAGACCGGACCCAAATTATGGGTCCGGACCCTTCTGTATGGGTGCCTTAAAAAGGCCCATATTTGTAGCTTCGATATAGTGACTTAATGCTGCTGAAATACCTCCGAAATGCGTCAGAAATACGTTCGACATACCGTTAAATACCATGAAATCCTGAAATACCGCCGAAATACCAGTAAAATACGCGAAATACCCGAAATACGTGTATTTCGAAATACTGTGTACACGGACATCCCGAGTGAAAAGCCCCTTTTGTTAGAACCTATGAAATAGAAATGACCGATAAAAAGTAGGTTTACCCAATTTTTATTTCTTGCTATATCACTGTGCAAAATAGTTGTACAATTTACGGGAAATTGTTCTTTGATGCATGTCGTAAAAAATCAATGAGTTGTAAAATTATAATCTCTTGGTATTAACTTAAAATTTATCTACGCGCAGGATTAGAGTCAGAAACTTACAACATATTTTGTAAGTATGAATTACAAAATGTACATCACAAATATACAAGGATATTTTTCACAGTAAATTTGGCTAAAAAAATCTGTTGCTCGTCTCATCCTTTTACGTTTTGTATCGGTGCTTATAACAAATGATGGATGAGAATAAACCGGTCTGCGCATAGCGCGCCGTGTTGGAAAAATCCACACATCCCGGTCGAGTGTGCTGTGACCTTCAGACTGCCTCCAGGCTGCAGGTCCACTATCCTTTTTGTCTCTCTCCTACGGTTCGTGTCGACTTTACGGTGAGGAAGCCAGTCGCCCGCCGCAGGTTGACAGCGTCGCACACTGTCTGCTGGAGTTCACCGAGCAGTAGAAAACGAAGGTGTAGTGCCTTTTGTCAGTCGTTACACGCTAAAAACGACTGCTTGGTTGCCAAGCAGTCACTTTTAGCGTGTAGGGGTCTCATCACGACGGGATAAAACTTAAATTACATCAACTATATTTCGCACACCTCTGTTTTATCAGTGCGTTCGTCATGAGGACACTGCTGATCACTGCGTTGCTCGCGCTGGGAGCGAGCCTGGAGTCTGTCAACGGCGCAGGTAAATAACTAGCAGGACGTTGGGTTATCCGTGCTCTGTTTCAGTCATGAAAGACAACGACAACGGAGCTAACACGACGTTTCCGGTAATACAGGCGCTTTTAACTGTAGACTGTAGGAAATTATATCGTAATTTAACGAAAACTGTCCTGTGAATTAATCTACACAAACTCTTCTTCATTTTAAAGTAACGAATACATTCGTAAAATAACGAACAGTTTGCAACTCGATTATTTTAATAAAAGAACGGTCCTGGAAAATTATTGAAACAAATATTTTAACATCCTAATCAATTGACAGTATTAAATCGTGCTGCTACGAAAAGTTTGCTTTATCCCGCAACGAACAGCTCGTAACTGAAATTTACGAAAAATGCTCGATAATTTCAACTACGAACTTTTCGTGACAGATTATTATCGTGCAATGACGAAATTCCTGAACAGTCTAGTTATTTTCACACAAGGAACGCAAAAATGCAATTAAAATTGTTTTCCAGACATGAAGCTAATCTAATTTTCGGATATTTTGTGTAAATTTTCTTAAAAGTTCTTTCAAGGTGGGACTCGCAATGGAATGTTTTCCGATGTTGTTTAGATTTTATTGTCGCTATATTATATAGTTGTTTGCATTCCCAGACAACTCTGGAAGCACAAGTGTGTACTTTAACGCAATAGCAGGTCCTGTGTACTGACATGTGTGCAGGAGGTCCTGTGTATACCAGGCAAGTATGCAAGAGGTAGTGTGCACTTTACCAAGTACACACTACCTCATTACAGACAGACATGCCTTGATCCGTAAGGTATAGACCATACCTTACGGGTAAGGGCATGTCTGTAATATGGATCAAATTATCTGCAATACGGACAATTTTATCCGTATTATGGATGATTTGTGATCCATAACACGTTTGCACAAAATTAACTGGAACATACGTATAGCACATCCGTAAGAAAATGAGAATGTAAAAATTACATTGTGTTCCTCAATCTTGTAGGAACACCTGGGAAGTTTTGCTTTTGCTCTACTGCCGAAATGATCCGACTCGTTGGCTGAGCGATTAGCGAAGAATATTACTCAAGTGATGATCAAAAAGTTTCGCGTCTGTCTGTCTCACGAAGATTCGAGAACGAATTGAGCTAGCGACCTGGGATTTTCAGGGTCGTTTTGTATCACAAAAAGACAGATCAAATTCTAAGAAGAGCATTCTAGCTCAAAATTTTGATTTAAAAAAATCAAAAACCATAGGTCCCACAAAAAATGTTTTTTTTCCTTTTTTTTAACAGTTTCCTAACGGGTTACTCATCAAAGTAGAGTTCTCAGGGAAAAAATTTCGTCCGTTTGGCTCTATATTTAACCCTTTAGGCGCCACAGGGAGTTTTTGACGAAAATTAGTGAAAAAATGTACAACCCTGCATGCTTAGTCGAAGTGGTGGGAAGTTGACGGGCCAGAGGCCCGTATCTTTGAGTACATTTTTGCGCTTTCCGACTTAGGTGTCAGCGCCGCAGGCCTAGGTAGATGTATGACAGGCGCGTCGCAGCGCAGCAGTTTTTTGTGAGATACCGCGAAGCCTGTTACGCGAGACGTGGCCGGCGTACATCTACCTAGTAACTAAATCGAACGACGTTCGCCTAGAAAATGATATTCTTGATTTTAGAGTAACGTACTGAAGCTGTGTTGAAGTGTGTTTGCGGTGTATAATAGGAACCAAGTATGCCATTATATTCTACAGTATATGTAACCCTACTAATACATGAAATTAGAATGTTACATAACGAAGTATAGTATGTTTGATTAGTATGTTGACATGCTTATATTTCGTGTGTTATTCCCCTCATCTTAGAAACAGAAAATGCCGACTGGGCCAGGGTCAGCAGCTAAGAAGACATTTAATACCGCGGATTTCCAAATAGAAAAAGAATTTCCCGTGGATCACATGGGTACTCTCTTACGGTGACCCACCTCACCTCCTATTCAAATGTTGTAGCAGCGCGTAGAACACACTACAACTTTCTGTGGGAAACGTCACAGCCAACTGAGAAGAGTTGGCGGGGACCCTGCGCGCGTTGATACTAAACCAATTATTTCTGGCGCATGGTTGACTTTTTCAACAAAAACTTGTATGACCCCTAAAGTTTAATGTCTCATAGCGAAAACAGAGTAAAATTTAATTTCAGTTTCATGTCAAAATTTGAGTTTAATGCAAAAAAAAAAAAGTTCCGTCAAGGTACGGATCGTGGAAGCAGATGATACGTATGTCATGATCAAGCCTTGCATTTTATTATTTCAGTACAAGGTGTGGAGGTTTCAAAGATCTAACACCCACATTTAAAGAATTTTGGTCCTATTTATACCGCTATTCATATTTTACAAGTTCCCGGCTGCCGTTTATTCTCCTTCAGTGTTTAGAATAGCATGATATGATAGCGTCCGGGCGGCCGAGCCGAACCGGGCCGACTTCCGAGCCGCGCTCCCAGCCGAGCGTCGGCCGAGCCGAGGCGGGCGGGAGGGGGGCGTAGCGATGGCACGGACCAACACCAGGCCCCCCTGTATATCTTCTACTGGTGACGTCACGCCTTGCCTCTCTGCACGTCGCTTCAGTACAAGCAATGACACATTTCACAAATCATTCTTATTCATTTCAGTTGTTCGAAATGCTCAAAGTTTCAGTTACAAATGTATCATCTGCTAAAAAGAGGGGGGGGGGGGGGGGGTCCAAGGAAGGAACAATTTTTGTAAATGTCAATTTGTGCCTTCTAATAGCAGAATTTGTTGGACTAAAACCTACTTACCTGTTCAGAAAGCACCTACACATTGGTTCCCAACGACATCGTCACGGCTAGTGTCAACTTGGGCGACGGTGATCGTTTCATCGACATAACGCTGAAGGACGCAGAGGGCAAGAACACGCTTAGCCACATCATGGTGGGAGGTGTGTACCCGGACGGCACGACGGCATTCACAGCAACGAGCCGCTGCAGTCCCGGCGTCCCCAACACATGCCTTTTGCACAAGGACGTAAGTGACTCTACGCACAAACCAATTTTTGTACATTATTGCGGTGGCCTGTATAGGTAGCGCTTACATGTAATCCGCTTAACTGATGTATATGCACATACACTCTCATTTCCTTATTGACTCGCTTACGGAGAATTCTGTGCAAACTTATACACTTTTCGTCCATCACTGTAAATTGAGGAGCGAGGCTTCTGACTCAAAACAAGCGGCACATTAAAAAACTGCTCAGTCTGAACTATATCCTTTTGAGTTGCTTATTTTGAGCGACAAAACTGTAGGTCGCTCAACTCGAGTCGAACCGAAGTGCCACTTAGAGTATTAATAAATTAATCTTAATACTCAGTTTGAGTATTGATTTCAAAATCTGGCGCAGGTAGAGTATTAAGACTGAAACCTCACAAACTTTTGTATTAGATTGAGAAACTTGTGAATTTACTGTTAATTAGAAGGTACCCTTGAAGAGTAAAATATTTGGGGGGCTCTAGGAGGTAATTTTGTAAAGTAGTTGGATTGTACAGTTGAGACCATAAACTAAAATTATAGCAGCACATCCATAAGGAAACGAGAGTGAAGACATGATTGTTCTTAAAAGTTTTATGGTCCTTTCACATTTGTTATGTTGTGAACTGTAAAGAACGACCATATGTTACAGTTCCGAGGCAGGTTTCAAGACCTGCCGAAGGGCGAGACAAAGCTGCTGCTACAGCTACGGCCGGGCAGACTTGCCGTATGGCGGCCGGAGAACCCCGTCTCCGTGGCGAAGGTGCCAGCACCGGAGGGCAGCAACATCGTCATCATTAGTGGCACATCACAGCTGGTGCAATTTACTAGTACGCATCATCCCGAATTTAAGTACTTAAACTCCGGAATGGAATGACAATGAAACTACATTACCGCTTTTTAGCCCGCCCTTCTGCTTTGAAAAAGCTATCCAGCGCAGTGGGCTTATGCAAACGACCTCGTGTCTGTGTGTTTGTCTGTTCCACTAGAAGGAGATGTGCTAGAGACTTGAAATTTTCAAGGTATCATAAGGTCCACCCCATGAGAACGAAACGCCTACGGCAAATCCTGGCAACCACCCCTAAGGGTGTGAATGGGGGTACCCAAGGTTCAAAAATTCTCCCTCAAAGTAATTTTTTTCTCATGTTCTCCTAAGGGGTAACTCGTGAAAGTAGAGCCTCTTGGGCGAAAATTTCCTCCGTCTCGCTCTATCTCTAACCATTTAGGCGCTAGAGGGTCCTTTTTTTTGACAAAAATAAGCTAAAAATTGCCATAGTCAACAATAAGTTGTAGAAAAAGGCCTAAAAACCGCAAAATAGAAAGGAAACTCTCCCCCCACGCTAAGAAAACGTTTTCTAGGCAGAAGAGTGGGTTGTAGTCGCGGTGCTTCACCGTTACATCCCTTTCTTGAGTCTTTGGGGCAAACTCAAAGACGACGGGTTTGGCCCGCTACGTCATTCGATCATGTTCTTCAGCAAATCGCGTGACAGAAATGCCAGCGCCGCTGGCAGGCCAAGCAGGCCCGGCCCCTGCCGAACGTAGTTGCCGGCTGAGTGAAGCGGAGCTGGCAACTTCGTTTGGCGGAAGAGCGGGCTGCTTGTTTTGGTTTCCTGCCCAAAAGATCAACTTTAAACTGAAGAACTTACATTGGGAGTTAGGTTAGTCTTTTGGGGTAGCAAAACAGATAGCATAGTCTTTTGGGACAGCAAAACAGATAGGATATTGTTGCACGGACGCGTCGAGCTTATACAATTTTTTTTGGTTTGCCAACTTTAAGGGGGAATACCCAATTCCCTAAAAGTTCAGTGTTTAAGTCCTCGATGTCACAGTGTAACTCTGTCCAAAATTGGCCTATTTTCGTCGTTTAAAGCTCCAAACGCCTCTTGTGAGTAGCACGGTTCAGAGTATACCCGAGAACACCTGGTCCGCTTTCTTTTCTAGTTCCAAGAGCGAAATAAAGGCATGCACCACGCTACAATCAACAATTCATATTTGGCAAATTTAAACAAGCAGGCCCGCCCTTCTGCCAAACGAAATTGCCAGCTCCGCTTCGCTCCGCCGGCAACTCCGTTCGGCAGGGGCCGGGCCTGTTTGGCCTGTCGTCTGTCACGCGATTTGCTGAAGAACATGATCGACTGATGTAGCGGGCCTTCGGAACGCTTAAACCCGTCATCTTTGAGTTTGCCCCAAAGACTCGAGAAAGGGGTGTAACGGTGAAGCACCGCGACAACAACCCACCCTTCTGCTTCGAAAACGTTTTTTGGGGGTGGGGGGAGAGTTTACTTTCTATATTGCAGTTTTTAGGTCTTTTTCTACATCGTATTGTTCACTATGGTAATTTTTAACTTATTTTCGTCTAAAAAGACCCTCTAGCGCGTAAACGGTTAGATATAAAGCAAAACGGAGGAAATTTTCGCCCAAAGGGCTCTGCTTTCACGAGTTTCCCCGTAGAAGACCATCCAATATTTTCGAAAATTAATAAATTTAATTTTGGGCCACTTTTGTGAGAGAAACTCACTCTAGCGCCCAAACAGTGAGAGATAGAGCAAAACGGACGGAATTATCGTCTAGAAGGCTCCACTTTCACAAGTTACCCCTCATAAGATCAATTGAAACAATTTTTTTCAACTTTTTTGGCCTTTCCTGTTTTCTTCGATACCCCCTTTTAGCCCCTTAGGGGAAGTTGCCAGGATTTGCCGTAGGCGTTTCGTTCTCTAGGAGTGGACCTTACTATATCCTGAAAATTTCAAGTCTCTAACACATATCCTTCTAGTGAAACAGACAGACACACAGACACACAGACACACAGACACGAGGTCGTTTGCTTAAGCCCGCCGGATAGCTTTTTTAAAGCAGAAGGGCGGGCTTAAAATGGTATTAACTTAATTTAGATAATAAATCGATAAAGGGGTAGTGCCGGATTCTAGCGAAACTTTTTCTTAAAAAAAGAAACGCTCTACTAGGCCGAGCAGGTCGGACCCGCTCGGAGCAATATTGCCAATATTGCATTAATGCCAAACAGGCCAAGCTAGGCTCGGCCTCTGCCACCCTCGGAGCAAAGTGTAGCTGGCAACTTTTCGATACCTACAAGAAAGACACACGTGACACACGTGTCCCCAGGTCCGCAGGATAGACTCACGTACTTTCGAAGAATACCGAAGGTCGACTCACGCAGTTCTGATGCCCAATGCAATAAACAAGTAGTTCCACAGCCACTAATGCAGCATTAAGAACGACATGTTCCACTAAGACAACAGCAAGTAAATTTCGTGAATCATCTGCTTATGTAAGCAGGTTCAATATAAGACCACCCTCAAATCAATAGGTCACTTGTAAAAACGGCAAGAGGCATTCTTTTGGATGCAAGTTTTGAGGTTATGGGAAGTACGTGGACATGCAGGCACGGTCCAGAACTGCGAGAGTCTGTCATGGAGGCCGAGAAGTACGTGAGTCTGTCCCGAGGGCCCAGAAGTACGTGTGTCTACCTTGTAGGTATCGTTTGAACGGATGGGCGGGTCTGCTTGTTTGTTTTTACAGTGAACTCTCGATAACTGTCGCCTCGATAACTGTCGCGTGCGAGAGAGATAGCTATAGAAAAATAGCGCGTTCCATGCGGACTGACTGCCGGCTCCGGCGGCTCGCTCGACTCGCCTGCCGGAGGAGTGGGGAGAGCGGAGCACGGCAGCAGCGAACGCACAGTACCCTCGATTACTTAGTACTAGGGCCTCAACCCGGAATTCAGATGGATACTGCAAATTGTGATACCAGCAAGCCACTTTGCACACTTGTTCCTAACACCCAAATGGTCGATTTGGCCCGTAGCACCTATCTGAATTTTGCTGCGGGGGTAGGTTTTTCGGGGGTAGTATGAAAAAACTACCCCCAAAAGTCGACGCCGCCAAAATTGACCCCCAGGCATCATCCGAGGGTCGATTCCGGCTAAAATGGGCCCAAGGAACTCGAAAATGACAACAAGAATCATCGCCGATCAAAACTGGTACTGATTTTGGGCCATTTTATGAGAAATTTCACCGAATTTGTGAGATTTCGTAAATTATCGGTTCTGGGCATGCTGGGTATCGTTTCAATGGTTTTGATAGAGTGCAAATCGCTGGGAATGCTTAAAATGTCGGTGGGGTACTTTTTTCATGGTGCATGCAGAGTAGAGTGCCAATAGCAGACGTGTTAAAACCACCCCCCAATTGTCGATACCGCTCCCGCCGACCGATATGCGTTATGCGAGAGTGCTTTGCGACTAAACCGGACCCGAGGAACCCGAAAATGCAAAAAGAAAAATTCTCCGGCAAAAATTAGACCTGATTTTGAGCCATTTTATAAGAAATTTAGTCCCAATTAGACGATTATGCGAGTTAAACGGTTCCGGACAACCCAGATATCGAATCTATGTGTTTGACGGTGTGCGAATCGCTAGGTATGTTAACAATTATGGTGGGGTACTTTTTTCACGCTGAAGCTAGCGTAGAGTACACCGTTTCAAACTTCACCCACACACATCGAGGTTGGTAATACGGAGGTAGAGGTGTGATCTGCGTGTCGTTATCCAGGTAAATCGTATCTAATACATTCAAAAACTGCAAAAAAATCATACCTGAAGAAAATGAGCAAGGGTAAGTGTAATAGCTGTACTATAACTACATATGAAATGATTTGATAACCTTCTTTATTTTACTGAAATATTTCTATTACGTCAAGGGTCAAAACTGAAGAATACTGTTCTGTATTTTAAAAATGTTATTCATCGCCTAAAATCTCTTTATCAGAAACTTCTTGGTAAGTATTCTTCCTGTAAGTAAAATAAGATTGTTTAACTGCTCTTGATTTGCGTACTATTTTGTTAAAAACTGGAGAAACTTACTGTTTATTGTCACAATTGCCTTTACACTTTTTGCAGGCTGGAGTGCAGGGTAGGGAAAGGCGGCGACAGCAGCAGCGCAGGGTACCACATAGAGTGCCGCAACCACATCTATCGAGCTCTGTTACTTCCTCCTAGATGTCTGGCAACGATGTCCACACCATTTTCCAACCAGCTCTGTAAGTAAAGCCCCATCCTTCAGGGGACATTGTTGGTCCTTCAATTTTACTGGAGGAACCCCACTGGTGTCCGGCTGTATAGGCAGCTCGCTTTCTTTTCTCCTCAAGGGCGGCTTTTGACGGAGGGATGGCAGAAATGTGCTTGTACTCAGATGCAAACAATTCTTTACGGGCTTGTGTGATAGGCTGCAAAGGAGCTAGCTTCGGCGTGAAAAAAGTACCCCACCATAATTGTTAACATACCTAGCGATTCGCACACCGTCAAACACATAGATTCGATATCTGGCTTGTCCGGGACCGTTCAACTCGCATAATCGTCTAATTGGGACTAAATTTCTTATAAAATGGCTCAAAATCAGGTCTAATTTTTGCCGGAGAATTTTTCTTTTTGCATTTTCGGGTTCCTCGGGTCCGGTTTAGTCGCAAAGCACTCTCGCATAACGCATATCGGTCGGCGGGAGCGGTATCGACAATTGGGGGGTGGTTTTAACACGTCTGCTATTGGCACTCTACTCTGCATGCACCATGAAAAAAGTACCCCACCGACATTTTAAGCATTCCCAGCGATTTGCACTCTATCAAAACCATTGAAACGATACCCAGCATGCCCAGAACCGATAATTTACAAAATCTCACAAATTCGGTGAAATTTCTCATAAAATGGCCCAAAATCAGTACCAGTTTTGATCGGCGATGATTCTTGTTGTCATTTTCGAGTTCCTTGGGCCCATTTTAGCCGGAATCGACCCTCGGATGATGCCTGGGGGTCAATTTTGGCGGCGTCGACTTTTGGGGGTAGTTTTTAAATACTACCCCCGAAAAACCTACCCCCGCAGCAAAATTCAGATAGGTGCTACGGGCCAAATCGACCATTTGGGTGTTAGGAACAAGTGTGCAAAGTGGCTTGCTGGTATCACAATTTGCAGTATCCATCTGAATTCCGGGTTGAGGCCCTAGTACTAACTGTCGCGGCGACAGTTATCGAGAGTCCACTGTACAAAGCAGAAGAGTGGGCAAACAATTTGAGAATACAATTTCTATTTCTATTCTATCAATTTCAATATGAACCTTTCTGTTCAAAAAAAAAAATCAAAGTGAACTGTGCTACTATTATTTCAGGTAGCTGAATCTGTGTGCAATTAAGTTTAGGGGTATCAATGATTCACATGCTGTCGTCTTCGGCTATGTTACAGAGGGTGGTGAACCTGCTATGGATCCGGAAGAGCCAAGTACGCCACCGCCTGTTGAACCAAATCTCTAAAATTACCTAAACCACCACCTTAATTGTAAATTGCTGTTTAACTCTTAACAACATTTTAGAACTTTAATTGTGCACTAGACATTGTAATACAAGGGCTTTATTAAACCAGTATGTAACGCACTGCTTTCGTTCTCATTATGACAAATCCTTTTGTACCAGCATACTGCTCGCCACTTCCCTTTAGTGCTGAACATCACAGCACATAACGAAATCATTCAATCTCAGTCTCAGTTTGCTCCATTGTGCACCGATTTCTCAAAATTTTCTACCATGTGTTTGTACAGGTTCTATCCGGGTTTTATCTATTTACAGTCTAATAAGGGGGAATTTCTTGGACATGTCGAAAGCATTCGACTGCGTTGACAACAAAAAACTCCCAATGATTCTGGACAATAAGGGGCGTCGCTCATAGCTGGCTGAAGTCCTATCTAATTGGAAGAACAACAAGAAATGCCCTCACTCATTTTTTTCTGGATGTGCTATCCGTATGTTACGGTGAATTTTGTGCAAACGTATTATGGATCACGAACTATTCATAATACGGAGAAAATTATCCGTATTACGGACAGTCATTTGAACCATATTACAGCCTGCGGCCCGACCTCTGGGTTACCTTTCATATTTGAGTCATTTAACAGGGTAAGGTTTTCCGGTGATACAGTCAGATTTCAAAGGTGCTTTAAAGGGCAGTTGTTTGCATCCCTAGATAAGGTTTGGCCTTGGTTTTGGCTGCCCGTAGGAAGTTTAAGGGTCATTTCACGCAAATTTGATCAAAATTTCCCAAATTTATGGCTTTTTGGCCTTCTTTGCCGAAACCGTTTGGGCAACAGCGCTCGACAGCACTCAGATTTTGCAGGAAATTGTCTTTCAGCTAGTATATTCCACGAACAATATTAGAACCAAATCAATGGGGGTCTCAAAAGGAGGGTCTAGGATCGTAACCTCCTCTCGGGACCCGTTTTTGCGACCCTAATCAATTTTGTGTGAAAAAGAGCATTAACGACATATTTCCCCTTACCAGGAGAACAATTTTTTACTAGATAAAGACAGCCTGACACCGACTGCTCTGAGACGTTCCATTCTCATGAAGATGCATAAGCGATTTTCTCCGGGTGAACTTGATGAGAGAGAACTCGCTGACATGACACCCCAGCAGGCTGCGCTGGCTAGAATCGACCACCGATGCGCTGTAGTGTAAAGTGCAACAAAATGATGGTGAAGATCTCCTTCTTAGATCCTCGCTACAAGGAGGAGCTTTCTGAGACTAAGAGGCAAATGGCGAAAGATCAATTGAAGGCGGAGTATCTATCATCTTTGGTAACCGCGGGTGAGTCTCATTGCCCCCCCCCCCCCCCCTCTCTCTCTCTCTCTCTCTCTCTCTCTCTCGCTTTAGTTAAGCTCACGCTCGCAGCGTTCCTATCGCAAACCTGCATGTTTTAAAGTTTTTTTAACCCTAATAACTACAGACTCTTGACTTATTTATTAAAATTACTACTCTTATTTTATAGGCGGTGAGACCGAGCAAATGACACCATTGCCCAGCAAGCCATCTTTGTCCGGGCTTTTCGCTACGCGAAGGAAGACGGGAGACGCAGTCGATCTACCGGGCTCAAGCTCTGCCACAGCTGATCCAGCAACCCCTGAACAGCTATTTAGCCAGGAGCTGGCCAGGTTCGAGAGTGTGCCGCAAGTCCACATGAACCTGGACATCCGTCTGTGGTGGAAAGAGCGTGTTGACACCTACCCTCGTCTAGCAGCACTAGCAAGAAAATACTAATGTGTTCCCGCCAAGAGTACCTGCTCTGAACGGCTTTTTAGCACTAGTGGCAACATTGTTACTGACAGGTTTGGTTCAATCTAGAGGTACGGATACATCTGCGGAAGAACAAAAAAACTAATGCATTACTGCGGATTTTCGCTCCAGATCTAAATACCAATATACTGGGGGAGGGGGGGGGGGATGGCCGAAGAGGGTGCGAGGGCAGCGGTGGTCACAAGAACAACATGTACGTCTACGGAGGACGGGGGGATGGAGGTGGGAGGGTAGGGCCGACTGGTGGAAAGGGGGGAGGGAGACAGAGGTTGAGAACCGAGGGGGCCACCACTCTCTCTTTGGATGTACACATGATTGCAAAGATTGCGTGATTTCACATGATTTCACGGATTTCGCATATTATTTTAGAAGATTTCACGCTAAAACCTGCCGGCAGATTATGTCTGATTCGAAGGATTACAGTTGATTTCAGCGGATTTTACCGGATTTCGGCGGATTTTACGTGATTCCGGCGGTTTTTACA